GGCAAGAAATATTCAAAGTGATGAATAGCAAGAACCTACAACCAAGATTACTCTACCCAGCAAAGCTATCATTCAGAATTGAAGGTCAGATAAAGAGCTTCACAGACAAGAAAAAGCTAAAGGAGTTCATCACCACCAAACCAGTATTATATGAAATGCTGAAGGGTATTCTCTAAGAAGAGGAAGAAAAAGGTAAAGATAAAAATTATGAGCAACAAAGCGATGATAACAAATACATATCTATCAAGAAGTGAATCTAAAAATCAAGTGAATAAAACATCTGAAGAACAGAATAAACTGGTGAATATAATAGAGTCAGGGGCATAGAAAAGGAGTGGACTGACAATTCACGGGGGTAAAAGGGGTGTGGGGAATGTGGGAAGAGATTGGACAAAAAATCTTACACCTATGGATGAGGACAATGTGGGGGTAAGGGTATGGGGTGGGGTGGGAACTGGGTGGAGGGGAGCTATGGGGGGAAAAAGAGGAGCAACTGTAATAATCTGAACAATACAGATTAAAAAAAAAAAGAAAAAGAAAGTAGATCAGGCCCAGCCAGAGTGGCTCAGTTGGTTGAGCATCTCAGTTAGTGAGTGTTACCCATGCACCCAAAGGTTGCCAGTTCGCTTCCCCGTCAGGGCCTATTCCTGAGTTGTGGGTTTGACCCCCATTCAGGGCAAGTACGGAAAGCAACCGATCAATGTTCTGCTCTCATATAGATGTTTTTTCTCTTTCTTTCTCTCCCTCCCCCCCAGCCAGAGTGGCTCAGTTGGTTGAGCATCTCAGTTAGTGAGTGTTACCCATGCACCCAAAGGTTGCCAGTTCGATTCCCCGTCAGGGCCTATTCCTGAGTTGTGGGTTTGACCCCCATTCAGGGCAAGTACGGAAAGCAACCGATCAATGTTCTGCTCTCATATAGATGTTTTTTCTCTTTCTTTCTCTCCCTCCCCCCCCCCCCCCCCCTTCCTCTCTCTTTCTCTCTAAAACAAAACAAAAATCTTAAATAATAAATAAATAAAAGTGGATCAGTCTTTTTAGAGTCCTCCAAATCCCAAACCCTAGGAATAAAAAGTTCCCTCAAAAAGAACATTCATTGTAAACTATGAATTATGAAACTTGTAAAAAATCTTAATGTTGTTTATTTTGCCATAAGAAAAAATATTAGAAATAAAAGAAAACATTCATATACTTCAAAGTTTAATATTAACAAGAGTAAACCTGAGTTTCATAAAACCTTACATATTACAAGACAAATACATATAAGGACTCTTATTTTTACCTCTCAGATAGCTTAAAATATTAATGAAAGTAGTGTTTTAACTAGGTTTTAGACATAGATTTTGAAGTTAAAAAAATTAAGCACTGAAACCAAACATCTAAGCATTAATGAAAGTATCAATACTTTAGAAGCAGTGCAGTAGTACTGTTTCTGGCTCCCTCTGCTGGTTGATATCTCTCTCTCTCTCTCTCTCTCTCTCTCTCTCTTTCTAAATATGACATATTAGCTTTGTTTACACTTTCACTATTTAAAGAAAGCAAATCTTTAAAAAAAAAAGGGAACAGTATCCTATTTGTGAAAAGCATAAGCTTTGGCTCTTTTCATAATTTAAACGTTTTATATAAAAATATCTTTTCTACCTTTGAAGCCAAAGGCATAATAAAATTCTATATTGTTGGGAAATTTAATAACATGATTGAGGAATACAAAATGCTATACACATGCACACAAATGACAAGACTTTTCCTTGAAATAACATCAGTAATTTAAGGATAACGAATTGCAAAAGGTAACACTGAACTTTAAGGTAACACTGCTTTATAACATAATATACATATATACAAACTTTCTTATTTATAAAGACTATCTTAAGCCAAAGTAGTTTTTCTTTTGAAAAAAAAAAGCAAAAAATAAACAAATTAAATATTATTAAACTATGACTCAAAGGAAATAATGCATTTAACCTAATTTTCAAAACAAATGACTCATTACATTCTTAAGAGGCTATTTGGGAAAACTGTCCTATATAATAACTCTATACTTGTTTCAATTTAGGCTTAGATCTTAGTTGAATAGATATTTCTAGTATCAGAAAGAAAGTTCCTATTAACCAAAAAGCTAGCCAACACATCATAACTGTTGAGTTGGCAAGATGCATTGAGATAACCAAATAAAAGCTTTATACTTATACAAGTTACTAACAGCTAATCACTCAAAGTTTCACAGAGGACAGGCAAGAATCGGAGAGTTCTTAACATAACAAAATAATAAGAACCAAACTCAATAAAAGCCCCACAAAAAGACCTGTTATAAATTTTTATTCTTAAGCTTTGATGGAAATAATGAAGTTCTTAAAACCAATATAATGGTAAAAAAAATTTAAATATTTGGTCCTAGAAAAACTTTCAACTTCAATAACACAAAAGACATTTGAGGTGTGTTTTTTTAATAGAGTCAAGATATTAAGAAAAATTCTTACCACTTGAATAAGGAATTCTACTGGAAAACCACCCAATGTTTCAGTGTCAGAGCCTGAAATCTTACTTCTCCAAGGTGACTGTCCTAATAAAGGATCATTATCCTACGGAAATAAAAAGGAATCATTTAACCACTGCCTGTTCAAAAGGAGGTATCTTATCGATCTATATAAAAGGCTAATATGCTAAGTGTCCTTCCCACCTTCTGACCAGTCGCTATGATGTGCACTGGCCACCAGGGGGCAGATGCTCAATGCAGGAGCTGCTGTGACATGCACAGAGAAGTGACATGCACAGAGAAATGGCACCACAGACTCGGCTTCCCCTAAAGTGGGACAGTGGCCCCGCCACCAACCCTGGAGCAAAAGTCCACCAAATCGCAGCCGACGCTGCCGAGACCCCATAGCGCAAAATGCAGCCCATAGCCCAGCCTAGCCCAGAAACGGTCGCTGTGGGTGCCAGGGAATGACGTCATGTAGCAATGCACGACTTCCTCTCCCTAGTGACTAGCCTCCTTGGAGTTCGAGGAACACAGGTGGAAATATTTTACACTTTAATCAAATGTCTGTGAAGCATTTTCCCGTGCCTCATCTCATTTGATCCTCACAGAAGTCCTGGAATGGGTAGATAGGAGACTCGTTGGAATCCTACTTTCTTTTCATTAGCCGGAAAACAGAGATTTAGAAAGCTTAGAAACTTGACCCGACTTGAAAATGACTAGGGTTTCTCACTGTGCAGAATATAGTCAAACACTGCTGCAGTTAAATATTTTGCCCTTAGTTCTCCCTGTGTGACCTACAATAATAATCTGCTTCGTGTTGATATTTACTGCTGTGTTGCTGACAATTACCTGAAAGAGAAGTTGGGGTGCTTCACTGGGTTGGAAAAAGTTTAGCTAAATCAGAAAGCAGGTCGAATTAAGCAACTTTATTCTATATATGTAAAAGGCTAAGTTGACTCGCACATGCGTGATACATATAAAGCTCTCGCTGACGCCAATCGCATGCGTGTTTCCACCTGTCATTGTCCATTGTGAATTTGGTTGACACTTCTATTATAGAGAAAGGGTGAATAGCGACATTAAAATATTTCTTCTAATTAATTTTCTTTCAATGTGCACGAATTCATGCACCAGGCCACTAGTATTTAGATAAAGAGTCAATTCTCTTATATTTAATATTGTATTAAAAAGTCTACAAAAAAATTTCCAGTTGAAGCAACTGTTTACTATTTTATTTAAAATCTGACAACTCAAAATAATATGGGCCCCTCCTGAGGTTGCTGTAATAGATATATACTTCATAAAAACATAATTCACATTGATAATAACCATTTAAATTACTGATGACATTTTAAAAACGTTACCGTAGTGGGTGCTGGGAGAAGAGGAGGGTAATGCAACCGCGGTGGAGTCATAAAAAACCGAGAAGGCCGCTGTTTTTGTCCAAAGGCAGCAATGGGCATTGTCTCGTGAGGCTCATTACTCTACGGGAAACGAGAAAAGTCCTAGACTTGTAGAAGTTTGCCAATCATTTTAGTCTCATACACATGACATTTCTGCTTGATATACACTAGCTCATACGGTTTTCCAGAGACTATATTATCCTACAAAGCTCAAAGGGCTAGAACTTAAGTCAGAGTATGAAAATACTACTTGACTACCAAGAAAGTGAACCCACAAAACAAGAAGAATTAAGAAAAAGACCAAAAGACCAAAACAGAGGATCAATGATGCTGCCTGTGTGTTAAAGACCATCTAAATGCTAACTACTGTAATTAAAGTGAACTCTCTGGCCAGAGAAAAATAGTTAGGTGTTCTCAAAAAGGAAATTACACTGATGAAGCAGAAACCATTTTCCTATACTGGAAAGGAAGGTTGAAAGATTTCATCCTTCAATGAATAAACTTATGTTTGGTGTACTTTGCTCAATAGCTAGTCCAAATTTTCTTTCTCTCTTATTTGTCCTATCTGAAAATGATGTTGGATAAGGAAACCCTCACAGTAAATAGTCATAGTTTTTAAAAAGTAAGTATCAGAAAAGGAAGATTATTTTATTTTTACACTAAGGAGATAAATAAATTTTTATTCTTTTATTTTGTTTTTGTTGTTCATCCTCACCTGAGAGTATTTTATCCACTGATTCTTAAAGAAGTGTAAGGGAGGGGGGGAGAGTAAGAGAGAAAAACATTGATGTGAGAGACACACATCGATAGGTTACATCCTATACAGGCCTAGGGGCCAGGGATTGAGCCTGCAACCAAGGTACATGCCCTTGACTGGAATCGAACCCGCAACCCTTCAGTCCACAGGCCGATACTCTAACCCAGTGGTTCTCAACCTTCCTAATGCCTCGACCCTTTAATACAGTTCCTCATGTTGTGGGGACCCCCAACCATAAAATTATTTTCGTTGCTACTTCATAACTGTAATTTTGCTACTGTTATGAATCGTAATGTAAATATCTTATATGCAGGATGTATTTTCATTGTTACAAGTTGAACATAATTAAAGCATAGTGATTAATCACAAAAACAATATGTAATTATATATGTATTTTCCGATGGTCTTAGGCGACCCCTGTGAAAGGGTCGTTCGACCCCCAAAGGGGTTGCGACCCATAGGTTGGCGACCCACAGGTTGAGAACCGCTGCTCTAACCACAGAGCCAAACCAGCTAGCGCAGAAATTTTGATTTTTTAAAAAAAATATATTTTATTGATTTTTTACAGAGAGGAAGGGAGAGGGATAGAGAGTTAGAAACATCGATGAGGCCCTAACCGGTTTGGCTCAGTGGATAGAGCATCGGCATGCGGACTCAAGGGTCCCAGGTTCGATTCTGGTCAAGGGCATGTACCTTGGTTGCGGGCACATGAGTGTGCAGGAGGCAGCTGATCGATGTTTCTCTCTCATCGATGTTTCTAACTCTCTATCCCTCTCCCTTCCTCTCTGTAAAAAATCAATAAAATATATTTTTTTTAAAAAATCAAAATTCGATGAGAGAGAAACATCAATCAGCTGCCTCCTGCACACCTCCTACTGGGGATGTGCCCGCAACCAAGGTACATGCCCTTGACTGGAATCGAACCTGGGACCCTTGAGTCTACAGGCCGACGCTCTATCCATTGTAGGCTCATAAACCTTAAAAGTCAAATTAAAGAAATTTTTAAAAAGCGAGGCTAAAAGCTAACAATTTAATTTCCAAGATGCTTAGAGGCAAACAATCTATATATATATTAAAAGGCCAAGCGACTGTCCGACCGGCGGCTAGGTATGATGCACACTGACCACCAGGGAGCAGACGCTCAATGCAGGAGCTGACAAGCTGCGGTTCTTGAGTGACGCACCCCGGAACCAGAGAGGAGGGAGCCCAATTCCAGGGTGCGTTACCTGAGAACTGCCCTGTCGCAATCCGGGACCCCTTGGGGGATGTCAGAGAGCCCATTTCGGCCCAATCCCCACGGCCAGGCCAAGGAACCCCACCTGCCAGAGGGACCCCGCTCACTCCACAGACGCCCTTTGAGCCACAGCACTGCCCTAGGTGCGGCCGGCCTGGGGGGGACCTTGGGAGGTTGGCTCCAGGGCGTGTCCGGCCCATCTGGCCCAGTACCGTCCTGCCAGCCACCTTCTAATTAATTTCTTTTCAATGTGCACAAATTTGTGCACTGGGGCACTAGTTTTATTATTAAAAGTGCCCTAACCGGTTTGGCTCAGTTGGAGCGTCAGTGCACAAATTTGTGCACTGGGGCACTAGTTTTATTATTAAAAGTGCCCTAACCGGTTTGGCTCAGTGGATGGAGCGTCAGCCTGCAGATTCAATCGTCCCGGGTTCGATTCCGGTCAAGGGCATGTACCTTGGTTGCGGGCACATCCCCAGCAGGGGGTGTGCAGGAAGCAGCTGATCGATGTTTCTAACTCTTTATCCCTCTCCCTTCCTCTCTGTAAAAAATCAATAAAATATATACATATTTAAAAAAAAAAAAAAAAAGTTCATTACTGTCCTGGCCGATGTGGCTCAGTTGGTTGAGCATCGTCCCACATACCAAAAGGTCATGGGTTCGATTCCTGATCAGGGCACATATCTAGGTTGCAGGTTTGATCCCTGGTTGGGGTGCACAGGGGAGGCAGCTGACTAATGTTTCCCCCAGACCCCTCCTAAAAATCAATAAAAGCACATCCTTAGGTGAGGATTAAAAAAAAGAAAGTTCATTATTGAGCCCTGGCCAGGTAGAGCTCGCTTGATTAGAGTGTTGTCCCAATACACCAAGGTTGCAGGTTCAATCTCTAGTCAGGGCACATATAAGAAACCACCGATGAATGCATAAATAAATAGAACAACAAACTGTTTCTCTCTCAAATCAATCAATAAAATTTTTTTTAAATTCATTATTCACTTTTTAAAAGCTTTGTTAGATTGCAGAGATTAGTTCTTAAAATTATTTTAACTTATTAGAAAGGTGTATAATTTTCATGACATTGCTAGATCAAGTATGATCATGAAATAACAGCCCAGTAGTTTAGTGGACTGTATCAGGAACTCAAAAGACCTGAATTCCTCTCTCAGCCCATCAGGAAACCAGCTCTAGAGCCTGTACTAAATTACTTACAGTATTTGTAATGACTAATGTCTCAGTGTCATCATGCAAGAAGTGGGAGTGACTAACACCTACCCTATAGAATGCTGGGGATAAACAGGAGAACAAACTTTAAAGTGAAAGATGTTACCTCAGACTTTAAAAATCATTTTGCAAGAGGAATATACTTTAACAAAACAGCTGAAACGAAAGTGTTTATAGAGCTTATTCGAGTCAGAAGTGACGAGTTCTGTTTCACTAAAGTGCTATGTGGTTAAGGTATAATAGAGAAATGGCAGATTCTCAACAATGTGGAATGCTTAAATATAGTTCTGTCCCAGGGGTCCCAGAGGCAGGGCTTGGAACCCTAAGGATCTTTTCCTCAGTGACCTGAAATCTTGGTGATATCATACAGCACAATCTCTAAGAAAATTCTACATAACATATTTAATATGCATAACATACAAATATATTATGAAATACTCACAAGAACTTCGTAGTCAGGGATAGTATGGGTTCCCAGCCCTGTCCTATCGAAAGTTACTCTGTAAGTAGCATTACAAGTATCCACAGCATCTATTTGCCCAGTGAACAGACCATCATGAACACCACGTAATCGTGCTGAGAAAAGAACCAAAAAAGGCATTATGTTTGTAAGATACAAAGAACTGTCAAATCCAAAACTGCTCCAAGCATGCAATTTGAAACATAGAAAGAACAGTATTGCTGTCTGTTATAGTTTCCAAAAAATTTACGCATTTTATTTTCAGTTTAGAGAAACAAAATTTTTGATAGAAAACTATAAATGAGCCCTAAACAGTTTTGCTCAGTGGATAGAGCGTCGGCCTCCAGACTGAAGGGTCCCAGGTTTGATTCCGGTCAAGGACATGTACCTTGGTTGCGGGCACATTCCCAGTGGGGGTGTGCAGGAGGCAGCTGACTGATGTTTCTCTCTCATCGATGTTTCTAACTCTCTATCCCTCTCCCTTCCTCTCTGTAAAAAATCAATAAAATATATTTTTTAAAAAAAGAAAACTATAAATAATGATCCCAATTTTGATATATGAATGAAATCTCTTGTCTACCAACCTAAAAACAAAATATTTTAAAATCACGGCTTTAAACTCTGAACTGAAAAAAAGAAAAGGAAAAGTCAACAAAAGAACTTTGGTTATTGCACTCATGAGTGAAACGACAGGTAGAGTTCAATTTGAAAAAAAAGAAAAAGAAAAAAAGACAGGGATGCTGTGAAGAATGAATATTCTAGGCCTAAGACTGCTATCCTTCCTTGGAAAGGCCTGACTGCAAGATCAGCATCCACGAACTTGAATTTCAAGAGTGTTCCCATACTGATCAAGGTGGTTTCCTGTGCCTAGAATGTTTGTAAACACGGTGTGATGTATGCTGAGTACTCGCTCTCCTTTGGGAGTCTGGAATTGCAGTATGTGCTATAAGAGAGTACCTACATGACCAGCCCCCAATAAAAACCTGGGTACTGCATCTAACGAGTTACTTTGGTAGCCAATACCTCACGTGCAGTTACACCTGCTGTTGGAGGTACTAAGCAAGTCATGTGTGACACCAGGAAGGGATTCTGGGAAGCTGCCACTCGTTTCCTCTGGACTTTTGCCCGGTGCACCTTCCCCTTTGCTAACTTTGCTTTTATCCTTCTCTGTAATAAGCCAAGGCCCTGAGTGCTGAGCACTCTGACTCTTTCTAGTGAATCACCAACTTGGGAGCAGTCTTGGGGACCCCTCACACAGGTGAATTTTTGTGTCACTATTATCTAAATCCAATCTGAAATAACATCAGGAAATTCCAAGCAAACAACCATTTTTCACTCATATTCTTTTGAGTGAAAAATATAAGAATGGCCTGTAAGGCAAAGTGAGCCTGGCCCGCGTGGCTCAGTGGTTGAGCGTCGACCTATGAACCAGGAGGTCACAGTTCAATTCCCGATTGGGGCACATGCCCAGGTTGTGGGCTCGATCCCCAGTGTGGGGCGTGCAGGAGGCAGTCGATCAATGATTCTCTCTCATCATTGATGTATCTCTCTCTCTCTCCCTCTCCCTTCCTCTCTGAAATCAATAAAAATAAATATTTTTTAAAAAACTAGGCAAAGTGACACATTGTGTATGGACAAAAAAGTACAATACACAGCATCATTTTAGCAGAACATAAATATTCAATATAAGACTGTTTAAAAGAATCAATTGATTAAAAAAAAACACACAATTGTAGGAGCCTAAACTAGTCGCAGTCTTTGACAGATCAATGAAGGGAAAAGGCACAGGTATGCAGAAGATATAAATAATAAATAAAGTTGAATAAGCAGCATAAATACAGAAAAGGACTCCCAGTATGACAGCATGAAGAGGCTGGTGACTCTTCTCCACAAAACAAGTATAAACCTGTACACACAACCATTTCATTGAAGTGGAAATGGGTCAAATGCAAAAACAACTAAGAAAGGTTCAGTGTTGAAAACTGTCACAGCTTCAGGTAAAGTCAGGAAGTCAGTGGCCTTTTGCATGAGGCTATGCACATCCCCCATCCCCACCACTGGTTGGTGAAAATGGCTTTACTAGTGCGATGGCTGCTCATGGAAACCAGCCGTGCTGTTGCCATAGGGAGCAGATTCGATGTGGACCAAGAGGTAACACCTGTGACTCTGCCAGTGAAAAGGGATGAACTACATCAGGAAAGAAGAAGAAAAACCCACAGCTGTGTAAGCCCATGGGACAGTCCTGGCTGACATGAGCGGCAGAATAGCCCGACATTTAACAGAGATCCTGGACACTGGAGAGCCATAAAAGGGCTGAGGTAAGCTCTCCGTAGTCCTGGGCTAACTGGAAAACTACGGGGACGGGTGGGGAGTACCTAAGAGTCCGGTAAAAAGTAAAAGCTGCCGTAACCGGTTTGGCTCAGTGGATGGAGCGTTGGCCTGCGGACTGAAAGATCCCGGGTTCAATTCCGTTCAAGGGCATGTACCTTGGTTGCGGGCACATCCCCAGTAGGAGGTGTGCAGGAGGCAGCTGATCGATGTTTCTCTCTCATCGATGTTTCTAACTCTCTATCTCTCTCCCTTCCTCTCTGTAAAAAATTAAATATATTTTTTTAAAAAGTAAAAGCTAAGGCTCCCTTCCCTCCAGAAACAGCCCTTGATTAGTCCAAACATTTCTCAGTTACTAACCCACCCACTCACTTATCACCTTGCTATTTCTTGTACTACGTAAGTTGTGATTTTAGTTTACCAAATTCTTGAAGATTAATTTAAACTTGGTTTTGGTGGTACTTTCCCTCCCTGTTATAAATGAAGAATATACAGAATCACCTCTACAAATGGACATAATTTATACCCTTACAAAATTTTGGGCAAACTACCTAGTGAATAATTTAGTTTTATTAAATCATTAGAAATGGACTCTATCTAGACCCAAGGATCCTAAGAACAATGGTGTTTATGAACTACACAGAAAAGTCTGCTTTAAAAAAGGAAAAAAAAATAATTTTAAATTTTGAAACTTAAACAATTCACAGATGAAGAAACAGTCATCTCTGTAGTATACTGCTGTAAAACTATATTTAAGCTTTCTAAATTTAAAAGTCGTTTCTCTAATGGAGTTTATTTTGGAGAAAAATTAAAAGTCAAAATATCAGTAAGCTTGTCTTTACTAACCTGTAACTTTGGTTCCAATGACCAGGGGCAGAGGAATCTCATCTGGGAGATCTTTGAATTGTGAAAGATCTGCAACTTTCCTTTGTTGCAAGAGCCGGATTTTCTGCCGTTTCTGTTTTAATGCTGATCTTTCTTCCTCAAAAAATGCAGAAGAACATCTAGAATAAATTATAAAAATAATATAAAATAACTACCCTATACAAAAACTTTAAATCAGGCCATCCATCTCGTTCTTGAGTACTGTATTTAAAATGGGTTCATAGAAGGAATAATTTCTTTTCAAACATCTTATTAAAAACAGACCTTGCAAGACTCAAAGATACATAAGCAAGTCTAGATTGTTCCTTCCTACAAAGCAGAAGGATTTGTTCACATCCTTTGACAAAACTGTGGCTGGATCCCAGGTCTTCTCCTAAGGAAAAAGTTCCATTTTAATATTCTATTAAGAAGAGCATGACATTTTCCCTGTCACCCAGTGAGCCTGCTAACACAGGAATTAAATATTAGACGTGTCTGTGTAAACGCTTAATCATTCTTCCTGCCTTGAAGTATGAATACTAAATTTACTCTTATCTTTAGGGCTTGTCTTACTTATATTTTCAAATTCTATGAAGAAACAAAGGTATTTAAACATAGATTTCATGCCACAAAATATATATCATCACAGTCGAGATTAATAAAGTATGAAGACATTGGTTACCATTAAGTTTCCTCGTGCCACTTTATTATTCTGATTTTGCACTCCTCCTACCTCTATACTCCCATTTCCCAAGCAATCACTGAGTTGCTTTCCATCATTATCATTTCTATCTTCTAAAATTTTATATAAATGGAACCATCTAGTATGTACTCTTTTGTCAGACTTCTTTCATTTAGCATAGTTATTCTAAGAGTCATCCACATTGTCATGTATCAGTGGTTCATTCCTTTTTACTGGAAAACAGTATTCTATTCTATGGACGCATCACAATTTGTTTATCTATTCTCCTATTGGTGCATGTTTGGGTTGTTTCCTGTTTGGGGCTTTTACAACAAAGCTGATACGAACATTTGTGTATAGGTTTTTGTATAAACATATACTTTCATTTCTCTTATGTGAATACGTAGGAGTGAAATGGTTGGGTCATATGGCCAGTGTATGTTTAAACTTTTAAGAAACCAAATATCACCAAAGAAGAAATATAGATGACAAATAAACATATGAAAAGATGATCCACATCATACTGAAGCATCCATCTTATACAAAACCTGCTGTTTGAAATTTTAACCCTGCGATTTTGGCTTCTGTAAATGCTTGTTGCTTAAATAAGGAAAATAATACTCACTCCCATCCAGAGAGGCCGTAAACTCTGCCCCAGACAGAGCTGGCACCAGGCCAGGCCTTGAGATATGGTCTCATGGCCCCTTCCCAGCACACAGGCCTCCTTTCTCAGAATATCCGGAAGTCTCATTCCAAATTTGGGAGACAAAGAACTGGAAAAAGTATAAATAGGGGAAGTTTCCTCCATGTTGGGGGCTCAGAATTTGAAAGACATTTTTCTCTGGGCCCGTGCATAATAATAATAAAATGTAACTCCCTTTCTCTAAACGTTGCTTAGTTTTTCTCTGTTCTTCTGTAACAATATGTCACTAGGGAAATGCAAATGAAACAAGATGCCACTATTCTATTAGAATGCCAAAGTCCACGCACTGACACAAATGCTAGCCAGGCCATGGAGCAACAAGACTCTCATTCACTGCTGGCGGGAAAGCAAAATGGTGCAGCCACTTTGGAAAACAATTCATTGGTTTCTTATAAAACTAAACATACTCTTACCATATGATCCAGCAACCATAGCCCCTGGTATTTACACAAATGAGCTGAAAACTAAGGTCCACACTAAAATCTGCACATGGGTGGTTATAGCAGCTTTATTCCTAATCATCAAAGATTGGAAGCAACGAGGTGTCCTTCATAGTGAATGGTATACATATAGATAATGAAATACTATTCACGGCCAAAAAGAAGGTGCTATCAAGCCATGAGTTACTAAGTGAAAGAAGCCAGTCTGGAAAGGCTACATACTCTATGATTCCAATGCATGACATTCTGAAAATGCAAAACTAGGGAGATGATAGGAAGGTCAGTGGCTGCCAGGAGTTGGGTGGAGAGGAGGGACGCACAGGTGCAGCTAAGGATTTTTAGGGCAGGGACTCTACTCTGTCTAATGATAATGGCGGGTATATGTCCTCATATAGTCCTCAAAACCCACGGAATGTACACCACCAAGAATGCACCCTAATGTTAACGACAGACTTTGGATGGTTATAATGCAGTGACGGCGAACCTTTTGAGCTCGGCGTGTCAGCATTTTGAAAAACCCTAACTTAACTCTGGTGCCGTGTCACATATAGAAATTTGTTGATATTTGCAACCATAGTAAAACAAAGACTTATATCTTTGATATTTATTTTATATATTTAAATGCCATTTAACAAAGAAAAATCAACCAAAAAAATGAGTTCGCGTGTGTCACAGGTTCGCCATTACTGTTATAATGTGTTGATGTAGGTTCACCAATTGTCATACATGTTCCCGTGTTGGAGGATGTTGATCACTGTGAAGGCTATGCCTGTGTGGAGGCAAGGGGGTATATGGGAAATCCCTACACCTTCCTCTCAATTCAGTTGTGAACCTAAATCAACGTAGTAATGACACTCCCAACATATTGATTTTACTTGAAACAAAACATTCTTACCTCCGTGGTTTTCCCATTAGCCGCCTGATTTTTCCCCATTCTACTCTTGTTAACTTTCTTGTTTTCAAATTAGGAAAAGACTCCTTTAGACATACACAGAAATCATTATCACCTTCAAAGAGCGGTCTACAAAATAGAAATGGTATTTTAATGGTTAATAGACAATGTGTTACTTAAAGAGACAAAAATTTAAATATGCATTTCAATTTTCAACATCAAACTAATCACAAAATGCAAACTTTCAGTTTTACACAAAATATATACACATCAGATACACAAAGGGCTAAAACTGCATTAAATTCTTGGCTTTTGTGGAACAAATCATGTGTAACAGTTAGCCTGTGCTCGAGAGGCCCAGGAGACACTGATGTTCAATGTCCTCAGGAGTATACCCTCGGGGCTATCCTGGCTCTGGCATTGCACCCGCGAGGATAAGCAATGTTAGCTGCAAAGTGTTTGTCCCAAAAGGAACACCTTCATCAAGGAGTCCTCTTTGAGAATAAATCCGTTTTAGAAGACTGGAGCACTCCAGAAAGTCAATGGAATTCAAGAACTCAGACCACACTCCGACACCCTCAGAGCCTGCTTATACACCTATGGAAAACCTGTGGACAACAATAATTCTATTCATGGGTTTGGGCAATCAAGAACTAGCAATGATACACAAAGGTCTTGGGCTCTGGCCAGGGTGGCTCAGTTGGTTGGGTATTGTCCTGTGCACCAAAAGGTTGCTAGTTCAATTCCCAGTCTAGGCACATGCCTGGGTGGTGGGCCTGATCCCCAGTATGTGGCATGCAGGAGGCAGCCAACTGATGGTTCTTCTCACATCAATGTTTCTTTTTCTCTCACCCTCTTCCTTCCTCTCTCTCTAAAAATCAATAAAAAAAATATATTTTTTAGAAAGGTCTTGGGCTTAAATATGAACATTCATGAGATTTACCAGATGAGAGTAGGCAACTGGTGTGGAAGGGAAGTAAAGATAAGTAGCCAGCAAAGCACCACCCATAACCAGCAGGGAATAGAAGGTGATGGCTGAGAAACCAACATTCTTCCTCAGTAAACACTGTTATTGTATAGATTCTTAATGTTTTATTTAAACATTTATGTGTAACTAAAGTTCCTAAGTGCTATCAAATAAGAAAGACTACCCGTCTAGAAATCTTATTGAATCCACTATTTCTCTACTATTATACTAACACTTAAAATCTGAACATTTATAAAACAAGTCCCATTCATTGCAAATACTGGTTCTTTGTGTCACAGTCTTTATAAATTATAATATAAAAATTATACTTTCATTTTATTTTACACTAAAATGTATAATAACTTCTTCCTCAAAAAAGGGGAAGAAAACTATGAAAAATGGCAACAGATCAAACCAGAATAAATAGAAAAAGGAATTTAGGAAAAGATAGGATCAAAATGGACCTACAGAAAAGGTTATAGCTTATAACGTTTGAAAAACTTAAATTTTTGCTTCAAGTAATATTCATCATATAATTCATGATACATACTTATCTATATTTGAGTAGAACCACTCATATATGCACCATTTATGTGCTTTGGGAAGCTTGAGTAGGTTGCGTAATCGAAAACCAATCTTTTGTGAGGCTTTCTTATCTGGTGTTGACATTGTTGCTGTAAATTTCTATACAATAAAGAAACAGAGATTAATTACATTTCCATTAAGTAAAAATGAACTTCTATAACATTGAATACATTTGTAAAAAGGTAGATTATAGTTAAGTACTCAAAAAGACTCAACAATATCCAACATGAAACTTTTGTTATTATTTAATAAGCATTCTAATTAATTGTGACAAAGTTAATTAAAGCCTCTGGTTTCATAACATTCCTACAAAGAAGGTGAACTATGTGTCCCCAACATGTTTGCACTGAAGTACAATTTCAATTAAGGCAAGCAGGAAAAAGATGCTTGTGAGAAATATTCCTAGAGTTCCTGGGCCAGAAAAGACCAGTAAGAGAACTTGGCTACTCCTGAGAGAGTCAGAGAGAAAACATACAAGCAAGCACGAGGCCCAGATGGTTTCCAGTGAATTCTTATATTAAACCAGGGCTCCAATGCTATTAAATTGTTTCAAATCACCGAAGAAGAAAACATAGTTCCAAACTATTTTCATAAAGACCACGTAACATAGATAATAAAATCTGCCCCAAGTATAATAAAAGTAAACCTCAGAAAATACCACTTATTTCTATGAAATTTAAAAATGCTTGGAAAGATATCCTGTATTCATGGGCTGCAAAAATTAATACAGAGTGGGGCAAAAGTAGGCTTACAGTTGTTCGTATGGAAAATAATACAATAATTAATAAATAATACAAGAATAAACTGTGTTTCACATATGAAGAAAAATTGTTTCATGTACATACAACTGTAAACCTACTTTTGTCCCACCCTGTATTATTAAAATCTCCATATTACCCAAAACAATCTAGAGATTCAATACAATACCTGTTAAAATTCCAATGGCATTTTCACAGAAGTAGAACAAGCAATCCTAAAATTTGTATGGAACCACAAAGACCCCAAATCTCCAAAGCAATCTTGAGAAAGAACAACAAAACTGGAGGCATCATGCCCCCTGATTTCAAACTATATTACAAACCTATAGTAATCAAAACAGTATGATACTGGCACAAAAACAGACACACAGATCAATAGAATGAAGTAGAGAGCCCTGATATAAACTCATACATATGATAAATTAATTCAAAGGAGCTAAGAGTATTTAACAGGGAAAGGACAGTCTCTTCCATAAGCGCTGTTGGGAAAACTGGAAAAACACATGCCAAAGAGTGAAACTGAATTACTATCTCACACACATAAAACTAACTCAAATGCATTAAAAAACTGAATGTAAAACTTGAAATTGTTCCTAGAAGAAAACAGGCAGTAAGCTCCTTGACCTTGGTCTAAGTGACGACTTTTTGGGTTTGACATCAAAAGCAAAGGCACTGAGCCCAGCCGGTGTGGCTCGGTTGGTTGCGTGTAGTCCCATGAACCAGGTCATCATTCAATTCCCAGTCAGGGCACATGCCCAGGTTGCAGGCTTGATTCCCAGTAGGGGTGTGCAGGAGGCAACCAATCAACAATTCTCTCTCATCATTGATGTATCTACCTCTCTTTCCCTCTCCCTTACTCTCTGAAATCAATAAAAGCATATTTTAAAAAACAACAACAAAAACTTCTAAAACTCAACAGCAAAAAAACTAGCAATCAATTAAAAAATGGGCACAGGATCTAAATAGACATTTTTCCAAAGACATACAGAGCGCTGACAGATACACGAAAAGATGCTCCATATCACTAACCATCAGGGAAATACAAATCAAAAGCACAATGAGCCTAGCTGGTTTGGCTCAGTGGATAGAGCGTTGGCCTTCGGACTGAAGGGTCCCGGGTTCGATTCCGGTCAAGGGCACGTGCCCAGGTTGCGGGCTCTATCCCCAGTAGGAGGTGTGCAGGAGGCAGCCAGTCAATGATTCTCTCTCATCATTAGCGTTTCTCTCTCTCTCTCCCTTCCTCTCTGAAATCAATAAAAATATATATGTAAAATAAAACACAATGAAATCTCACGTTATACCTTTTAGAATGGCTATTGTTAAAAAGTTAAGAAATAACAAGTGTTGGTGAGGATATGGAGAAAAGGGAACCATTGTGCACCATTGGTGGGAACGTAAATTGGTGCAACCACTATGGAAAACAGTATGGAGCTTCCTCAAATAATAATAGAACTACCGTATGATCTAGTAATTCCATTGCTGGCCATTTATCAGAAGAAAATGCAACACTACTTCAGGAGACATATACCCCCTTTTTATTAACAAATGTCATCCCAATAAATTTAATAACAAAAAGAAAAGATATACCCCCATGTTCACTGTAGTATTATTTACAATAGCCAAGACACAGAAGCAACCTAAGTGTCTATCAATGGATAAAAGAATAAAGAAAATGTGACACACACACACACACACACACACACACACACACACACAAGAATATTATTCAGCTATAAAAAAAGAACAAAATCTTTCTATTTGCAGCAACATGGATGGACCTTGAGAGTATTGTGTTAAGTGAAATATATTAGACAGAGAAAGACAAATACCATATGATCTCACTTATATGTATAATCTAAACCAAACAAACAAACAAACAAACAAAAACAAGTCCAAATTCATAGATACAGAGAACAGATTGGTTGCCACAGATAGGAGTGGGAAATGGGCCAAATAGGTCAAAAGGTAGAAACTTCCAGTTACAAAATAAATAAGTCATAGGGATGGGCTACAAAGTATGATGACTATAGATAATCCAGTATTGCATATTTAAAAGTTGCTAAGAGATTTTAAAAGGTCTCATAATAAGAAAAAATATTTGTAACTGTGGTGACAAATGTTAACCAGACTTATTGTGGCAATGATTTTGCAATATATACAAATATCAATCATTATATTGTACACCTGAAAGTAATGTGTTATATGTCATTATATCTCAATTTTTAAAAAGCTTTAAAAAAAGAATGTTACCAGATAAACACCATCAGAACATCAAAAGAATACAGCACAACCAACTAAAATTTCTGTCAAAAATGCAAGGATTATAAATAGACACACAAAACAAAATGTAAGGAAAGTCCAGTATTAAAAAACTGTTAATATAACTTGCCATTATTAATAAATCAAAACAATAAAACTCATATGATCACCCTTCACTGATGCTAAAGACATTGATAAAATTCAATATCCATTAAAATAATTCTTAATAGAATAGAAATAGAGGAAACCACTGAAAAAATACAATAAACTAAAAGTTAAATGATACACCTAAAGTAATGCTTGGAGGGAAATCTATAGGGTAAATGCCTATACAGTGGGACCTTGACTTACGAGTGTCCCGACTAACGAGTTTTTTGAGATACCAGCTGTCTCTCCACCGATTTTTTGCATTGAGTTGACAGAGTAATTTGAGTTAACGAGCTCCTTAACGAACTCGGTCTCGGAACGAATTAAACTCGTAAGTCAAGGCCCCACTGTATTAGAAAAGAAAGATCTCAAATATACAACCTACCTTTCCACTTTAAGAAACCAGAAAAGAACAAATAATGCCCAAAGCAAGCAGAAGAAAACAATAATCAAGATTAGAACAGAAATAAATGAAATAAAAAACAGAAAAACAATAGAAAAAAATGTGATGAAACCAAAAGTTCTTTGAAAAGATCAACAAATTTGACAAACCTTACCCTGGCAGGGTAGCTCAGTTGGTCAGAGCATTCTCCTACACCAGTGATGGCGAACCCATGACACGCGTGTCAGAGGTGACACGCGAACTCATTTTTTTTGGTTGATTTTTCTTTGTTAAATGGTATTTAAATATATAAAATAAATATCAAAAATATAAGTCTTTGTTTTACTATGGTTGCAAATATCAAAAAATTTCTATATATGACACAACACCAGAGTTAAGTTAGGGTTTTTCAAAATGCTGACACGCCGAGCTCAAAAGGTTCGCCATCACTGTCCTACACCAAGGTTGCGAGTTTGATCCCCAGTCAGGGCACATACAAGAAGCAACCAATGAATACATAAGTAAGTGGAACAACAAGTCAATGTTTCTTTCTCTCCTCCCCTCCCGCCCCCTCTCTCTCATCAATAAAATAAATTGACAGCCTGGCCAGTGTGGCTTGGTTGGTTGGAGCATTGTCCCTGCATCAAAGGGTCAGAGGTTCCATACCCAGTCAGGGCACATACCCAGGTCAAGTTGCTATGTGTCTCTCTCACATCGATGTTTCTCTTTCTCTCTCTGTCTCTCCCTCTCCTTCCCTTCCTCCCTCTTTCCCGCACTCTCTCTTAAAATCAATGAAAGCATATCCTCAGGTGAGAGTTCAAGAAAAAAATAAAAAATTGACAAACATTTACCTAGATTGACCAAGAAAATAAAAATACTTTCTTAACCTATAAAACACATTTCTCTCCATTCCAATACAAAGGTCAGTATTCAATGTTTAAATATTAAAAACATTCTCATTAAAGTGAGAAATATGTCAAAGATGTTGACTGTCACCACTTTTTAACTCTATTTTAATGGAATTAGCCAATTAGATAAGAAAATTGTAAAGAGAAGACAAAACTACCATTATTTGTAGGTAATATGGCTGACCCAGAAAACTCGAAGAAAATCAACTATAACTGTTAAAAATAATAAGATAATTTAATAATGTGGGTGAATACAAGTTGATATAAAAAATATCTTTAAAAAATCACTATCTTTTCAATATGTAAACGAGAACTGGTTAGATAATAAACCAGAAGAAATATCCTATTTATGACAGCAAAAATGACAAGAACAAAAGTATTAAATACCTAGGAATACACTTAAGAAATGTGCAAGACTGCCCTAACCAGTTTGGCTCAGTGGATAGATCGTCGGCCTGCGGACTAAAGGGTCCCAGGTTCGATTCCGGTCGAGGGCATGTACCTTGGTTGAGGGCACATCCCCAGTAGGAGGCGTGCAGGAGGCAGCTGATCGATGTTTCTCTCTCATCGATGTTTCTAGCTCTCTATCCCTTTCTCTTCCTCTCTGTAAAAAATCAATAAAATATATTTAAAAAAAAAAAAAAGAAATGTGCAAAACTGACATGAAAAAAATGTTAAAGTCTACTAGGGACATCAAGGCTTTTAAATAGGTGGAACTACAACCAGTTCGTGGAGAGGCAGTCTCAATGTAACGTGTCAAACCCATACATTTATAATATTAGTGTAATACCAACAAAACTGCCATCAAGGTTTTTTTCCTAGTCAGGTTGAATCCAAAGTTTACATAGAAAAAATGTACAAGAATGTTTAGGAAAATCTAAAAAAAGAGTAAGTAAGAATGTCTTATAGACATTTAACCAAAATATAAAGCAATATTAAAACAACCTGACACTAGCACATAGAGACATAGTAGACAAAAGAGAGAAAGCCTAGAAATAATCCCAAATATATACAGAAGTTTGCCTCGTACTGCAGGCAGCATATTAAATCAATGTATAAATGATGGATTACGCAGTAAATGTGACCAGGACAAGTAAGTAGTCCTCTGGGGGGGCGGCGGGGGGAGGGAATCAGGTTGCAGTCTTACCTCATTCCTTACTCCAAAATAAATTCCAGATGGACCGAATATTTAAATATTTAAAAAATGAAATGATATAAGAAATATGAGAGATGGGGTGGGCTAGAAGGGGCTAAAGGGGGAGGGAAAGGGGGCATATGTAATACTTTCAACAATAAAGATTTAAAAAAAAGAAATTTGAGAGAATTCTAGAACTATAAATTTTAGACTAGAGAAGAAGGTCTTTCTGAGCATAAACTCAGTAAATCATAAAAAGGAAAGATAGTTATATTTGACTCTTAAAATTTTTATTCAATCCTGCATGGTGAAAAATACAAAGTAAAAAAAAAAACTAAAAAATAAAAAACCTACAAACTCTGAAGAAAAGTATAGCCAATATAAACAGCCCAAAGGCTAATATTCTTAATATATACAAAATTCTTACAAACTAATAAGAAAATAACTGCCCAGCCAGGTGTGCTCAGCAGTTGAGCATCGACCCAGAGATCACCAGTTCGATTCCCAGTCAGGGCACATGCCCAGGTTGCAGGCTCAATCCCCAGTGTGGGGTGTGCAGGAGGCAGCCGATCAATGATTCTCTCTCATCACTGATGTTTCTATCTCTCTCTGTATGTTGGGAGTTGTTAAGCATAAATAATAACCAATTTACTATAAATTATTATTATCAGAAAAAGTGTTACTTTTCTTTCCTTTGAATTACTGACCCAGATTTTTAAATGGCTCATTGGATATAGTAAAACTATAGTAGAGATCCCTTGTTGAGTATGGGGAAATATATTCAAACTATTAGTGGAAATAGAAATTATTCCAACTTTTATGAATTGACTTTGCTGGCACTATCTTCTAAAGTTTCAATGTTAATACCCTTGTAGCCATCACACCTCTTTCAATCAGCACATGGAAAATGAAGTGACTGCACAGGGCACAGGGTTTCTTTGGGGGGTGATGAGAACGTTCTAAAACTGGTTGTACTGCTTGCTCAATTGTGCCTACATTAAAACCACTGACGTGTCACTTTAAATAGGTGAGTTGTATGATACATGAATTGTATCTCAATAAAACTGCTAAAACATAAAAAAGCAGGGCTCTGGAGACAGGATGTCTGCCACTTTAGTAGCAGCCTTCACTTCCTAGGTTTGTGGCCCTGAGCAAGACACTTCTGTGTCTGTTTTCTCACCTGAAAAATGGGAGATAATATAATAGTAACCTATCTCATCAGGACTGCTCAAGAGCAAATCAACATAATACATATGCGGGGAGGGGTAGGAGTGGGAGGCGAGGGGCAATGGGGGGGCATCTGTAATACTTTCAATAATAAAGGTAAATTTAAAAAACAAATAAAGGGATATGTCCCAGCCAGTGTGCTCCGTGGTTAGAGAGTCGGCCAGAGAACCCAAGGGTCGAGGGCTCTCTGGCCCAGGGCAGGTCCCTCGGTTGCGTGTTCCCCGCCCTGGTTGGGGTGTGTGTGGGAGGCAACCACTTGAAGTGGCTCTCTCACATCAATGCTTTTCACTCTCTCTTCTTCTCCTCCCTTCTTCCTTCCACTCTCTTAAAAATCAATGGAAAAACTATCCTCAAATGAGGATTAACAACAACAAAAAACACACAGACAGAATATAAGTATTTAGAGGCTGAGTAGGAGGATAAGGGAACAAGCCATGTCATGTAAATACAACTTGAAAGAACTAGGCACGTTAAGGCTAGAAACGACAATCTCAGAAGTCTCATCTCAGAAGCACAAAGGACTGTAAGATAGTCCTAGAAGGACGATGTGTCTGCAGAGCAAGGCAGTGGATGAGTTGGGCAGGATGGCTTTATAGTCACAGAGACTAAAGTTTTCTGAATGCTTGGAAATTTTCCTAAGAAACAGCTAGAGGAAGAAAAGAAGTTTTAAAACAATCCACTTTAGAGAGTTGTTACTCAAATTATCCTAATAACACACCTCTCCTAAGTCAATACAGGAAAAAGTTATTTAACTATTTCTTATATTCATTCAACCTTGTATCCAACACCTACCAAGTCCAACTATGCACATTTTGTATTATTTCCATTTTTTAAACTAAAGTTTAGATGCTTATGTACATTTGTTATTAAAATTTTTCAAAATATCTTTTTGTTCATTTTACAGAACATAAGCATTTGTACTATTTGAGATGATCATGAAGGCGTGGAAGGCGTTTTATGTGCTTGGTAGGGCATGTTGCTGGTCACTCCTTTAATCCCTCTGATGCCCAATCCCTGGCTGAGGAAATCGCCTCTGCTATGACCCACCACACGAAGTCTCCAGCACTCGGGGGAAATGAGCCCTGGCCGGTGCTGTTCCTTCAGTGGTTCCATTCCCAGTCAAGGGCACATACCTGGGTGGCAGGTTTGATACCCACCCAGTAGGGGCTCGTGCAGGAGGCAACCAACTCTCTCACATTAATGTTCCTCCCCCCCACCACCGCCTCTCTCTCCCTCTCCCTCTCTCCCCTCCTCCCATTCTTCTTCCCTCCCTCCCTTCCACTTTAACTAAAATCAATGGCAAAAATCCTTGGGTGAGGATTAACAAAACAAACAAAAATGACAGGGAAGTAGGGAATGACTTTCAAAAAATAAAAATTTGATAGGGGAAAAAAAAAAATCACATTTTTTTTAGAGGCCCAGTGCACAAAATTTGTGCACTGGGGGATGAGGGGGTTGTCCCTCAACTCAGCCTGCACCCTCTCCAATCTGGGACCCCTCGAGGGGATCGGGCCTGTGGGATCGGGCCTAAACTGGCAGTCGGACATCCCTCTCACAATCCAAGACTGCTGGCTCCCAATCGCTTGCCTGCCTGCATGATTGCCCCCTAACCACACCCCTGCCAGCCTGATCGATGCCTAACTGCTCTCCTGCCAGCCCGATTGCCCCCAACTGTCCTCCCCTGCCGGCCCAATCGCCCCCAACTGCCCTCCCCTGCCGGCCCGATCACCCCCAACTGCCCTCCCGTGCCAGCCTGGTCACCCCTAACTGCCCTCCCCTGCAGACCTGGTCCCCCCCAACTGCCCTCCCTCCCCTGCAGGCTGGTCACCCCCAACTGCGCTAACCTGTCGGCCTGGTCGCCTCTAACTGCCCTCCCCTGCTGATCACCCACAACTGCCCTCCCCTGTTGGCCATCTTGTGGTGGCCATCTTGTGACCACATGGGGATGGCCATCTTGTGCGAGGGTGTGATGGTCAATTTGCATATTACCTCTTTATTATATAGGATTGATTTCAGAGAGGAAGGGAGAGGGAGAGAGAGATAGAAGCATCAATGATGAGAATCATGGGTTGGCTGCCTCCTGCACGCCCCCTATTGGGGATCAAGCCCACAACCAGACATGTGCCCTTGACTGGAATCGATCCTGGGACCCTTCAGTCCGTAGGCTGACGCTCCATCCACTGAGCCAAACCACCTTGGGCCACATTATTCTTGAAGTTAATATTTCCTTATCCAATTTTCATTCATTGCTTTGATTCTTACATGTCCACCATGACTTTTTAAAAGATGCCAGCCCCAGCCGGTTTGGCTCAGTGGATAAAGCATCGGCCTGTGGACTGAAAGGGCACATGCCTGGGTTGTGGGCTCGCTCCC